AGACAGCTTCTTCCTGGACCAGCAGTGGTAGAATCAGAGTGCGTTAGGCACCAGGTCCCCTTGATAACTGTGTTTTAGAAGGTTTACAAGCTATTTTCTGTCTGAAGTTGTGTTATTTGATTTCTGGCAGTCAGATGTGGACTGCCAGGGGGCAGGTCTGTGTGTCTGCCAGAAACTAATAATTTTGACAGATTTTCCTCTTAGCCCCCAGTGAGCCCAGATATTTGCTAGGAGCAGATGGAACTCTGTGGGAATTTGCCCTCATGCTCTGTTACTGTGGCGAGTGAGACCTAAAATGGCATCTACTAGCCCTGCTGTCAGCAGTTACCAAGACATTGCCTGCCAATGAGTCTGACCATCCTGTTTATGCCTTACATTTCCCTAATTTCACATGGTAAGATGGGGAGATTAGAGTTTGGACTACCCCCTCGTAGCTCCCCAGGGAGCTCCCCAGGGCCAAGTTTTGCACCTTTGAAATATCTTCCTAATTTCAGTTTGACACCCTGCAGCTTATGGGGGTGTTTCTTTGCTTCCAATATGGGTAGTGACTTTTCCTCCTGTGAGAGCTTTGCTCATCAGAATTTCAGTTCAGTTTCTATCTCAAGGTGTCTTCAAAAAGTGACTATAAGGGGCCTGAGAGATAGTACAGCAGGCATGGCACTTGTCTTGCATGTGGATGACCTGGGTTCAATCTCTGGCATCCCGTGTGGTTCCCCAAGCACCTCCAGGAGTAATTGCTGAGTGCAGAGCCAGGAGTAATCCCTGAGCATTGCCCAGTATGGCTCCTCAAACAAAATATAAGAATAATAGTGAGAATATCTTATGATTTTCTCCTATATGGTATCTTTAGTTTAAAGTGTGGGGAGACAGGATGGGCCAGAGAGATAGTACAGAGGTAAAGGTGTTTGCTTTTCACATAACCGCCCCTAGTTCCATCCCCATCTTCACAAAGGGTCCCCAAGCCCTGCCAGGAATAAGCCATGAGCACCACTGGGATGCCTCTCCCCAATAAAACAAAAATTAAATGGAGAGGCAGAAATGTGACTCAAGTGGTAGGCAGCATCCATGCCTTCCCTGTCCTAGGCCCTAGGTTAAATGAAGAGCACCACCAAGGGGGCTCCCACAATAGAGTAAAGCATGGGGCAGGAAGGGGAATAAAAGTGGACTTCTTTCAGTCATTGTCTCTGTATACCATCATTGTCTCAGCATAGACTTGAGTTTTTTTCCAAGAAAGATAACTATTTTCACCATTTTCTATGCTGACAAGGAACAGTTTTTCCACTGGTGTAGAGAATACCAGTGATCAATCATTGGGGTGTCTCATAACTTGAGCCCCAGAGTTTTAACAGTGAAGCAAATCCTTATGTGCACATCAAAGAGAGGTCAAGACACACACACACACACACACACACACACAGAAAGAGGTCAAATTTAATGTCAAATTGGAATTTCTGATTTTTTCCATATTTTTAATTGATGCACTGTGATTTACAAAGCTATTAATGATTGCATTTCAGGCATTCAATATTCTAACACAAATTCTACCACCAGTATTGATTTTTCCCCCACCAATGCCCCCAGTTTCCATCCTACCACCAGCCTGCCTTTGTGACAGGTACCTTTTTTCCCTTTTAGGCACTGTCGTTTACAGTTCTGTTACTGATAGTGTTTTATGCATAACACTCGACCACCTCCTGCTCCAAAGTGACTACTTCCCTCCACTGTTATTTCAATGTTCCACTTCCCGTCCTACCCCCCAAGTCCACCCCCACTCCCAACCCCATGGTAAACTTCCTATTGAAGAGCAGTTCTTGAATTCTCAGTTTCTGTTACCTTTGGGTGTTTGTTAAGGAAATGTTGATTTTAAACCTAATCATATTATTATTTGTGGTCATCTTATTTGCCCATTCTCTGTCCGATGTGTCACTTCACCTTCTCAAACTCCCTCCTCAACCCCCCCCCCCCCCCGCCTCGTTGCTCTGTCCATTTCCTTTCCATTCTACCTACTCTTGACTTTCTTCTCATGCAACTTTCCTTTGCTTCTTTGATGTTTCTCTGCTGTTTTTTGTATCCTAATGATAGTACACTTCTTTTCAAAGATTATCCCAGATTTCTGGACTTGCTTGCCACACAGAAACTTATAGCTCTAGTTTACATTTCATGGTCATTTCTCCACAAGAGGCTTAGTTTATTTGCGTAGAACTAGTTTTCTTTTGCAAGAGCTGTGGGGTGTGTTTTTCATTGACAAAAGGCCAAGGGAACCAGATTTCTGGAACTTCCTCAGCGATGCAGTTCTTCTTTGAGTTCTAGTGGAGAGGTAAGGGCATTTCTGAGCATGTTGCCTTTGTAAAACCAGCCAGATCCTGACATGGCCAAGTTCTCAACCCTCTTCCACACCTTAGAGAAGCTGACAAAATTCCCTGACAATCTGTGAGCTGCATTGGAATGACTAGGTTTGTAGTTCTTCGAGCTTCCGAGAAATGTAAACAGCAACCCACTCCAAGGAAGAGAGCAGCAGAACTGTGTTGAAACTTGCTGTTAAGGGATTTTTCCCTTGCCAACACCCCAGCATGGTTGCTTGTGCCACTGCCAAAGCCTGCCCACACATTTTTTGATCACTTGAGAGGAAGCATCTGCTTTCGGTTAAGGTGGAGTAGATATGTACCAGAAACAGGAGTCATTGATGTTGCAGACCTTTCTTGGTTATCCTCTTGACTGATGGTGCCAACATTCAAAATGGACAAAACCATATACCCACTGCACCCTGAGCCAGCTGACATGGGGTTTAAAGCACAGTCCTGCTGGGGACCAAATGAACAGTGATGACATCCTTTACCAATGCTTTGGCTCTGTTAAGAAAAAGACCCCCATCTTGGATTAGGGGTATCTTAGATTACATATACCACCAGGGTATCCAATTATCCTTTATTGTCTTTTCCTTTGGGCCACACCCAGCTGTGCTTGGGGCATAGTCCTGGTTCTGCGATCAGTGGTGACTCCTGGTGTTGCTCTAGAGACTATATGGGGTGCCGGGATTGAATCTGGATAGGCCATATCCAGGCAAGCACCTTATCCGCTGTACTATCTCTCTGGCCCCCGTAGTACCCAATTCTTTTTGCATTGTAATCAATATATTCTACTTCTTCATTCATGATTTCTTTGCAGTGTTAAGATTTTTGCCTCCAACCTATAGGGCTGATGTGAATAAATATCTTTCATGTGTGCATGGGAACTCCTTAGCCAGCTTGGAATCTTCAGAAATCCTCACAACTTTCACAAATGCCTTGCGATCTGTCACATTTGTGTCACAGCAAGTGCCCATTGAGTCTCGTCTAAATGAATTTTATATATTGGGTCTTTTGTTTATTTCCTTTTTCTTCTTAAAAATGACACAGAACTACTATAGGTTTAAATTGAAAGGGGGCACACTTGGTGTTGAGACCATGTGGTGCTAAGGCTCAGTCCTGGGGCTCCCGCATGCAAATCATGTGCTCTCACCCCTTCCTATTGAAGTCTATTACTCTCTGACTATAGGTTTGATTTTTTAAAATAAAAGATTGAAGGAAATGACCTATTAATTGTAAAACGATTGGCTAAATAGCAGAAAGGGAAGAGTCCCTACATAATAGCTCTTAATACTACTCTCTTTTCCCTCAAAATAACCACAGTTCAGGCCAGAGAGGTAACACGGGGTTGGGGGGCACTTCTATTGCATGTAGCAGATCATGCTTCCATCCTCAGTACCACATATGGCTGCTCAAGCACCACAAGGCGTCATTCCTAAATAGCGTCAGGAATAGCCCCTGAGCACTGCTGGATGTGGTGCAAAACCCTCTTCTCTGACCACCTCCCAAAAAAGAACAAGCAGAATTCATAGTTTTGAAGCTTTCTAATTAATTGCATTTATAAATAAGTTTAAAACTTGCATACACAATTGTTTGGGTCTTTATTTGCACATGATTTCTTTTATCAATATTCTTTCCCCTTTATTTTTTATTTTATTTTTTAATTTTTATTAGTGAAACACCATGAGGTACAGTTGTAGACTTACAAATTTTTGTGCTTGGGTTTCAGTTATACAATTATCAAGTACCCATCCCTCCACCAGTGCCCATTTTCCACCTCCACAGGTCCCAGTATCCCTCCCATCCCCCATCCCCCCTATTCCACCTTGCCTCTATGGCAGGGCATTCCCTTTTAAAAATATGGCACACTTCACGAATTTGCGTGTCATCCTTGCACAGGGGCCATGCTAATCTTCTCTGTATCATTCCAATTTTTAGTATATGTGCTGCTGAAGCGAGCACTGCACATGATTTTTTATCATAATATATATACATGGTGGCTTAGTTGTAAGTAGTACTTTGTTATGTAGGATGAAATTGTATTGACATGTCATAGTTACTCAAAGTTCATTAGAGTTCACTCTGGGAACTGTACAGTTTGTGGGTTTGGACAAATGTATAATAACTTGTATCCATCACTGCAATACCATGCAGAGTATTATCACTGCTCAAAAAATATAACCCCTTCCTTTAATCTCTGGAACCACTGATCTTTTTATTTCCTATATCATTCTGTTGGTGACTTTTTTCTTTTTTCTCGATAGCACAGCGGTAGGACGTTTGCCTTGTGTGCAGCCAGCCCGGCAGAGCCGAGTTTGATTCCTCCGCCCCTCTTGGAGAGCCCAGCAAGCTACCGAGAGTATCTCGCCTGCACGGCAAAGCCTGGCAAGCTACCCGTGACGTATTCAATGTGCCAAATACAGTAACAACAAGTCTCACGATGGAGACGTTACTGGGCCCACTCGAGCAAATCGATGAATAAGGGGAGGACTGTGATCGTGACCGAATCTAACAATATAATCGGAAAATTTCTCTGTCATTAAATATAGGTCCAAATTGTTAACTGCCTGCTACTCCATACTATGAATGACCCACCACTTATTGAGCAATTCTTGATGAACGTTTACATTGTTTATAATTTGTGTTTTTCTCTAGAACCCAACTCTTCCGGCACTGAACTGTTCTGTTGAAAATGCCCATCCGACTGTTTCCTATTATGCTCGTCCTCAAGTGGCATCGTACAATACCTACTACCATAGCCCTCCTCACCTGCCACCCTATTCTGCTTATGACTTTCAGGTATGTTTTGAGAGCAGAAGAACTCTGTTATCCTTATTCTCACTCATGTTTTCTTGTTTCCTCTCTAATCATGAAGACTTCCTAATATGTCTGAAGTAATCAGGCTCACTCTCCCTGGTGGCCTTTAAAATCCTGACTAGTTTTGAGACTCTGTAGGCAGAAAAAAATAGGAGAGATGAGGAGGGTAGGACAGATACCAAAAGAGAAGAACAGAGAGATGGACGAAAAGGGAGAAAGGGAGAGAGGGTCAGGGTCAGAGTGATAGTACAGTGGGTAGCTAGCTTGCTTTGCATGAGGCTGACCTGGGTTTGATCCCCTGCATCCCATATGGACCCCCAAGCTCACCAGGAGTAATTTCTGAGTGCAGGGCCTGGAATAACCCATGCACATTGCCCAGTGTGGCTCAAAAACAAAAACAAACAAACAAACAACAACAAAAAAGAGAGCCAAGGTGACTCATATTGCTTTGCCCTACACCAAAAAGAAGACTTCGCTGGAAAAGTGTTGGCTCATCATAGACAGCAGTGACTTTTCCCCCATTCCTCTGTCACGAGGAGATATCTAGCCCTGTTCCACAGTAAGAGTTCACTCTGAGCCACACACAGGTTTGAATCAAATCTATCATAAGGGAAAAGTCCCTTCTTTACCACCCTTGAGATATTTTTTTAACTATGATTACAAATAAATTATTTGTTTACTTTACACCCCATCCCACTTTTGCCTTCTTATCCATAGGCCAGCAGACATGATCTTAACAAATTTCCACTCACTCGCACTTTTACTTTTGGGTGGAGACTAAGTAAAAAAAATAGGAATCCAAAAGACACCTAATGAAAAGTTAAATAAACATTTAGTTAATCAAAAATTGTTTTGATTGTGTGTCAAACACTAAACTATGCCTCAGATAAAACAAACACAATGGCCCTTTCATGCATTTAACAATTATCTTAAACCCTTGAGCACAGAAGAGTGGGGTCTCTACTACAATCTTGCTTATTCAAAATTGGGGTACCAAAGGAATACCTTCAAAGTAGGAGCAGCTTATAATGAATTTGTTTCTATTCACTAACTTCCATGGGGTATATAACTCCAGGGAATATAAAGGCATGAGTAGTTTGGGTATTTATAATTAAACAGACAGTGTAGGAATATGGAGTCCTTGGGCAACCTAATTTCAGCTTCAGATGAACAAAACTAGTGAAACTGGGAAAGCCCATTTAATTGAATAAAGTGCATTTTTGCTTGGTTTAAATACTATTTGGGAAGGTCTAGGTCTTCATATTGCCACAGTAATATATATGTGTGCATATATATGCATATGCATGCAATATATATTGCAACCCTAGTTCAATTCTCCAGCAGGCATAGCATCCCCCAAGCACTGCCCATGTATAAAGCTCTGCTGGATGTGGTAAAAAAAAAACCAAACAAAATAATAGAGTACAAGAAAAGGAATGATCTGTTAAAACTTGAAAAATAATGTGGAAACATATTTACTCATTTACATTTTTTTCCAGGCCACACCCAGAGGTGCTCTGGGGTTGTTCTTGGTATGATGCTTGAGAATTAATCCAGGCAATACTTAGTAACTACTCTTATCTCTGTGCACAGGGGTTGTTCCCAAGACCATAAGGTGCTGGAGATAAAACCTTAACCCTCCACATGCAAAGCATGTCCTCCAGCTCTTTGTGTTATTTCTGTGGCACCAAAATGTTTTTTTTTAGTTTTTTTAGTTTTTATTTATTTTATTTTATTTTATTTATTTATTTATTTATGTTTTTTTAGTTTTTTTAGTATTTATTTATTTATTTATTTATTTGTGTTACACCTGGCGATAGGAGTTACTCCTGGCTCTGCAGTCAGGAATTACTCCTAGCATTGCTTGGGAATCATATGGATTGTTGGGGATCGAACCCAGGTCGGCCACATGCAAGGCAAATGCCCTACCTGTTGTACTATCTCTCTAGCCCCCAAAACTTATTTTTAAACCCACTGTATTCACAGGTGGGGCTGGAGCAATATCACAGGGGTAGGGCATTTGCCCTACACGCAGCCAACATGGCCGACCCGAGTTCGATTCCTTCACCCCTCTAAGAGAGACCAGCAAGCTACCAAGAGTATATTGCCCGCACGGCAGAGCCTGGCAAGCTCCCCGTGACGTATTCGATATGCCAAACACAGTAACAACAAAGTCTCCAATGCAGACGTTACTGGGCCCGTTCAAGCAAATCGATGAACAATGGGAGGACAGTGACAGTGACAGTATTCACAGGTAGAAAACTCAGGGAACTTGTGACTCAAATGGGTGACAGAGAACAGAAAACACAAATATATTAAAGAAGGGCATAGATTTGTACTTTTCAGCTTTCAGTCTTTAGGAGGCAAAAAGAGTGAAAAACTCTTCCTTATCATTTTAGCAGTGACAGGCTAAAAGCAATCCTTTGAGAAAATGCGAGCATGTTGAATCTAACATGAAGAGGTTCATCAGTGTCTAGGAGTTCTACGATCAAAAGGCAACTTGTAATAACAGGAGTCATATGTGGGTCTGGTTCAAGTGGCCCTCCTCCTTTGTTTCTATATCAAAATCAGTTATATTGATTATACTGATTTTAGGAATCTTCACTTCTCAGTGAATATTGAAGAACAATACCCTCACAAGGGATGGATGCTAGTAACAATACATAGGAAGTTCCCTTTAGGGTATAGAGCCATTTCTCCATCCCTCATTTTTTATTCAAACACTAACCCTGGGAAAAAGGCAATGTTATGAAGCCAATTAGCAAATTGGGATATAGGTGTTAGTACATCAAAGTTTTTTTTTGGGGGGGGAGGGGTGGTGAGAGACACACTGGCTTTGCTCAGGGCTGACTCTTGGCTTTACATTCAGGGATCACTCCTGGTAGGTTCGAGGAATCAAAAGGGAGCTGTAGATCAAACCCCGGTCAACCACATGCAAGGAAAATGCCCTACCTACTGTACTATCACTCTGGCCCTGCTTTCATTAGTTTATTCCATGTTTCCAAGAGGCCAGGCACTGAGCCTGGGAATGGCATTGTGAATCTTGAGACTGAGAAACCAGTCCTGCATTAAGAGATCAGTTTAAGGACTTAGAGAGGTGGCTAGGTGACAATAATAGGGTCACATTCAGCTGGATTTAGGGGCTACTTCTGGCTCAGTGGTTGGGTGTGCTCCTTATGCTTCTCGGAGGACCTCCTGGGCCCGGGAATCAAACTCCAAACCTGAATTCTCTATTTCTTTGGCACACAGTTAGGGCCACACACAGTCGTGCTCAGGGCTTACTACTGGCTCTGCACTCAGGGAGCACTTCTGGCAGTGCTCAGGAAACTATACTCAGTGACAGGGATTGAACTGGAGTCAGCTGTGTGCAAAGCAAGCACCCAACCTGCTGTACTATCGCTCTGGCCCCCGAAGCTTCTACCTTTTAATAACATCTATTCACTGAGCACTTTCAAGAACCAAACGTTACTCTAAGTGCTTTCCACAGATTTTCTCATTTATCCCTTTATTTTTTTTTTGCTTTTTTGGGGGGGTCACACCTGGCGATGCACAGGGGTTACTCCTGATTCTGCACTCAGGAATCACCCCTGGCAGTGCTCAGGAGACCATATGGGATGCTGGGAATCGAACCCGGGTCAGCCGTGTGCAAGGCAAATGCCCTACCTGCTGTGCTATTGCTCCAGCCCCTCATTTAGCCCTTTAAAGGTAATTCTCAATGCTTTTTTCTTCCTGATGTGATGGGGATGGAACCCAGGACCTTACACAAAAGCAAGGCAACCGTATTCCTGTTAAGACGCACCCCAGCTCCCTCATTGGAATTTTTAAGATGAGCCCACTGAGACACAGGGAGAAGGGGTGTGAATTTCCAAAAGTGAAGACATGCCAAGTGGAAGAACAAGGATTTGTATCCAAGTTTACCTGACTCCACATTACACTGAGGAGATCTGGGAGCTGGATTTTTATATCTGAGCCCAGCACAGACCTTTTCCCCAGTTAAATTTAGGATACTGTTTCCTTCTACTGGTTTAAATCATGGCTTTCCTCATCTTGATTGAATCTCTTTATTCCAACGATCTCCATCATTTAATTGCTCCTGAACTCCAGGGGCATCTGGGAAACTATCCTCTTTCTCTGGATTTTTTCTCTAGGTTCAAGCTTTCTTTCCTCTTTTCTTTGTAGATACTTGATTAGGGTCTATTGTGGGATTTGAGGGATTCAGGTTATTTTAGTTTTGTTTTTGTTTGGAGGGAGGCATTGGGCCACACTGGGCAATTTCTCAGGCTATTCATGACTCTGTGCTCAAAGATCACTCCTAGTGATGTTTGTGGGAGACCCTAGGTAGTGTGGGGATAGAAATGGAATTGGTGACTGCGTGCTGGGCAAGCACTTTATCTCCTGTCCAATCTCTCCAGCCCCTTTGGGATAGGTTTTAAAGTGATTCATTCCCCCACCCCAGAACTTCTGTGGTCTTTAGTTTGAGCATTTGAGTTGAACTTTTTTTGTTGATTAAGTTCCAGTCCCTTATACTTCCATCCAAAAAATGCCAGTTTCTATCCAAGAAATTCAAGAGGCCAGCAACCATATGCTTAGATTCCCAGTAGTAGAAAACAGTCAACAAAACACATCCCAGCTCTGACAATCAAGCCACTAGAAGCACAAATCTGCCCAGGGGAAGGAAAAAAAGCAAAACCTGTTTGTTCCCTTCTGTGCTTTTCAGATTGCAAAAAGGTCTACATTCTAGCAGGAAAACTGACCTTTCTAGCCTTTCTTCTGAGCAAACTCTTGTCATTTCCCAAGAGGATTGTTCATTCACCTTTGGGTCTGAGGCGTGATCTCCACTGTATCCTGAGGTTGAAAGAAGGTAGAGGAGCAGAGGTTACACTCCTCCAAGCCAGGCCCCCTGTTGGGCAACTGTGCAGTTAGGAAACTTGGGAAACGTTTCTTGTGGTCAGGCCTTGAGCGAGGACTGGGGGTAGCTCAGTTGGCCCTGAGGATGTGGTAAGTGCTGAGCTAGAAGACAACCCTGCCAAATGCACGTCTCCAAGTTGCTTCTCATAGACTCTACTTGCTTAAAGCAGGAAGCTGGGACCCTCCCCCTTGCCTTCTTGATCATTAGCCCCACACTTCCTTTTCTTGAACCTTACACGCATGTCCCTAATACCCATGCCCAAGCTTCAGTCCCCAGGTCCCAATACTGGCCAGAGGTGGGGAATGTATATAAAGCATGCTTTTCTTTTTCACTACTGGAAATTTTCACCTAGCACAGTTTTCTGGATACCCCTTAAGGAGTCTAGCCCAAATTCCCAGTCTGGCTTACTAGGCCATTCCCTTGCATCATTCCCGCTATGGAGCGGTCCCCTTTTGTCCAGCTGGGAAATTGCCAAGTCTAGCTCAAAACGAGTCTCTCAGACTATGCTACCTGAGAGCACGTCTGTTTATGCTCTTTGTGAAATCACGTGGGCATCTGTGCAGGTCCCTCTGACCTACTGGAAATGAGCCAGGAGAAATCAGGCCTATTTTATGAAAGAATTGCTTGATTTCGGGCAGAGAAGCATTCTGGCACAGGTTAATGAGCATCTCAGAAACTGCTGCCACTCAACGGTTGTTTCCCCCCTTTCCTTTCTCCTGTTTTCTTTTCTTTGCCTTCCCCTCATCTCTGATCTCCTCTTTCTCCCCTGCCTTCCTCTTCTTCTCCCCCACCTTCCTCTTCCCTACTCTTCTCTCTATATCCCCAGCTTTTGCTTTCAAGGGGCCAGAAACAAAGAGAGGATGCAAAAACTAAGAGAAACCTGGATTTTCACTCTTTGGACCTAGTATCCTTGGTGGGCAGCCTTTCTCACCCGGCACTCCCAGGGCTATTTGCATATGCAAGGCCTCACAGTGCACTTGAAGAGAGAGAAATGTCCCAAGGGAAAGATCTCCAGGAGTAGAGGTCAAAGGTCAGGTCAAGATTGTTTGTCTTGCACAGGGCCAACCCGGGTTCGATTCCCAGCATCCCTTATGGTCCCAGGAGTAATTCCTGAGTGCATGAGCCAGGAGTAACTCCTGTGCATCACTGGGTGTGACCCAAAAAGCAAGCACTGTAGCACTGTCCTCCCGCTGTTCATTGATTTGCTCGAGTGGGCACCAGTAACGCCTCCATTGTGAGCCGACTTGTTACTGTTTTTGGCATACTGAATATGCAGCGGGGGAGCTTGCTCGGCTCTGCCGTGTGGGTGGGATACTCTCGGTAGCTTGCCAGGCTCTCCAAGAGGGATGGAGGAATAGAACCCGAGTCGGCCATGTGCAAGGCAAATGCCCTACCGGCTGTGCTATTGCTCCAGCCCAAAATGCAAAAAGAGAAAAAAAAAGATGGGAAAAGACGAGTGTGTCCTGAGAGGGTGTCGTCCTCTTTTTAGCATTTTTGACCTACAGGCACACCAGCTTCTAAGCAGCAGCCAGCCTGGACAGTTCCTGCTGATGGGTCCCAGCAGGAGGCCATTTAGATGTTTTCCAAGAAGCTTTGCATGCTTTGTGGTGTACATGGATTCAAAGCTCCCTTCTTTGGGGCTGCCTGTCCTATTAGGAAAGTCGACTCTCAGGCAGGAACCAAAAAGCACCCAGCCAGCTCCCCAGCTGCAACAAAGCCAAAGCCTTCCCAAGGTGCCTGTCTGTTGCTAGGAAACCACATGCTGGTACTGTGGGCCTTTCTTTCTCCAAACCTCAAGGGTTTGTGGACAGCAGCCAGTTTGCATTTTAGCTCCGCCAGGAGCCCTTCAATGTTCCTGAAGTCTCCCAGCATCGTCCTTGGGAAGGAAGAAGCATCCCCCTCCCTCCCCATAGTACCTCCCCAATGTAACAGAGAAATGAAAACCTGAAGGCCATTGCACACCCACCTTTTATTGTCCCCTAGTGTAATTGCCATCCCAGCCAGCTGCGGCCCACAAACCTTTCAAGGTCTCTCCGGAAAGAAGTGCCTAGAGTTGCCCCAGCAGGGAACCTGGCCCTCTCTTTGGGGGCTCGGAAACATGGAAAACAGTCACGGGGGTCTGTCTCAGCACCCTGCTTCCTCACAGAGAGATTTCGAGGCGAGGTTCTGCTCTCTAATGAAAAGATGAGCATTCTTAATTGAACGACAGAAGTCAACAGAGAGAATAAGGAGAGTTTGGTGGAAGGCAGAGTGGAAAATTTGGAAATCATGATAGTGATGTATCTAAGGAAAGTCTATGTTCCTGGCAGGATGAGGTAAAAGGAGATTTTAAGAAATTCTGGCTGGAACTCCCTGCCTCAAATTGTTTGGCCTTTCGAGGCTCTTCAGGCTCTCTGACATTTTCATTCAGTCACTCAGGGAGAAATAATGGTTAGGGGAGTGGAGCAGGGCCGAATGCAGGGGGGATGGCAGCTATATTGTCTTCACGGTCTTAAAATGTGAGGTAAAGGACAGATATTTTGGTGTCTCAAGCCAGACCTAGAAACTTGGATATTGTGTCCCCCAGAACCCCCAAAGTCAGGACTAGAGATAAGCAGAATCAGCCATCTGGTCTCTGACTTCAGAAACCTCATATGAAGGCTGCCCAGCGCTTGGAAACTTGATATGATCTTCTCAGACCCTGGGTAACAGAACAAAGTAAAGGTGGGATCTCCCCAAATAGCACTAGGAGTCTTTTTTCCGATTATGGATACTAACTCCTCTTCATGCTGAGACCTTGAAAATGGCCATTCTCTGAGAGCCTAAAATTGGCCTCTTGCTTCTTGCCGTCCTTTTAGCCCCCTCTGACCTTCAGGCCTCAGCCACACTCCCCGCCTGGAGCAAGGCAGTGGTACCCACAAAGTGTGTCGGATTGAGAATCAGTCAATCTCAAGTCCTTCTCACATTGTAGTTGCCCATTCATCAGACACCCACACTCCTGTTCTGAACTGGATGGAAGTGGAGGATGAAAAACAAAGGCCAAGCTCCTGGTGCAGGGATATTTTGAGGGTGTCTGGCACACCTGGGATAGGCAAAGAGAAGCAGCAGGTGACCCTGAACATGCCAGTTCACTGGTTGTTTTAAAACTCCTCATCCTCTTCCTTCCTCAAGAAAACCCAAGTTAGACAACACAAAGTCAAATGGAATCCTCCGTGTTAGCAACCTGGTGAGTTGCTCCTCCTTCCACACTATTGGCCTCACCGCCTCCATACTTTGGATTCTCTTTGCTCTCCTACCTACCGGCCCTTGAGCACTGAAGACGGAACATAAATAGTCGGGCTTTGAGTGAAGAGGCTCCGGATCCATCCAATGCCATATAACTTCCCTGGCCTCAATTTTGGTTTCTGACATGGACTCCTCATGGCAATAGTTCCTTATAGCTGAGATTTGCCCAGTTTTAATGGCTTACCCTCAGTGAATATCAAGGCCCAAATGACCTTAATGGAGACTAGCTGGAATGCTGTTCCATAGCTCTAGGGAAAACCACCGAATTATAGGTAGGGAATGATACCGAATTATTGAAGGCTTAAATGTTAGGTGTGGGCAATGGATTTGAGAGACTAGAATGAAAGAGGAGCAAACAAATTTGGGATGGGGGAACTGGCTGTTGGGGGGGGGGTCCAGGGTAAGAAAAGATTTGAATAGACTCTTTCCACCTGAGCTCTGCAGCCTGAGCAAATTAGAGACCATGGGAGCCACTTAGTTTCATGCCCCTCATGAACACTGTGAGAATATGTGGAATTCAGTTTTACACGTTGATTGTGAGATACTGCAACTCCGCACTCTAAAGTAGCATTGTTGGCCCAGAGAGATAGTACAGGGGATAAGGTGCTTGCTTTGCATCCCACCAGCCTGGGTTTGAATCCTCAGCACTGTATATAGTTCCCCAAACCCCACCAGGGGCCATTCCTGAGCACAGTGCCAGGGATAGCTCCTGAGAACCAGTGGGTGAGGCCACAAGAGTCCTAAATAAACTAATATTGTTTCCTTTTTATTCATGCAGCATTCCGGTACCTTCCCGTCCTCCCCTCCCTCTGGACTTTCTGATGAGCCTCAGTCTGCCTCTCCTTCACCCAGCTACATGTGGTCCTCAAGCGCCCCACCCCGTTATTCTCCCCCCTACTATCCTCCTTTTGAGAAGCCCCCGCCATACAGCCCCTAAAGAGGAATTTCTGCCAGCTATTACGATTATCTTATCGTGGCTTTTGTATTTCTGCTTTAGTGAAAGTGTGTAGGGAACAAAATGTCAAGTGAGATTCTTAGGCATTGTTTCAAGTTGGATAACAAACCTCCTGGGATAGGGATAGGGGTGAATTTATTCAAGATCAGGATGGAGCAGGGCTAGATGAAACCCCACATTTCCAAGATGGGCAGAGCACACTTTCCAAACCAGGTGAGGCATTCAGCCCAGCAAGAAACTTGTTTTATGATTGGATTTGTATTACCTGCAGTCACACAGCTGTCTGTGCTCAGAAGCCTGGCTTCCATCTATTTCACTTCGTGTAAATGGGGTATCATCCTTAGACCTGTGGTCCCCAAACCCTTGGTCCCCTAGCACCTTAGTTGGCTTATAGGCACTATCTCGCCCTACCACCAAAGTCAGTTCCTAAGGAAAAATTCCCAGATGGTGTGGTAATACAGTAGTTCCAATACACAGAGTTCTGGCTAAGATTTTCTTTGCTTATGTCTGGATGTGGAAAAATGCTACCCATCTTAGTCCTTTCTTCTGAGTATTGTAAAAATGGCTGCTGTGATCATTCCCCTCTGCTTTTATTATCAGTACCTCCCAAAGGGAAAAGTGCAATATCCCCTCAAATAGTGGGGAACAAGACTGATGATTCAGGAAGCACTGAAATGCACAGAGTGTATGTGGGGTGTAGAAAGTCATCTGAGAGGAGACGGTGATTCTACTCTATGTTCCAGTATTACACAATACAGTTGCTACAGGAGACAGAAATAGTTCAGTTAAAATTCAGAGTTTAAAAAATTGCTAGATTAGTTTCCTGGATTGGGAGAGGAATTGTTACTAATCTTTGTGACTATTTAATCTTAAATATTATGCTTCAAACCCAGCAAAATGCACGTGCCCGGCAACCCACCCCACAAGAATCATCTGTATTTTAGTGCCACTGCTCTTACTGGTCCTTTTGTTTCTGTTGTGACCAATCATGACTGCCTCCATCCAAGATTATGAAAAGTGTTACAATGCCGCTTCAAGTCTGCAACACAAACCTCAACCTGTAGCCAACTGGACAAATTCCTAGGTGTTAGTGTAGATTTAAAATTCATCTCACACATTGTGGTAGGTACAGTTATTTCGGTTTGACATAGCTTTAAATCCACCAACCTGATAATTTTAACTTTGGGCCCCAGGCTCTCACTTCAGAAGAACCCTTCCATTACCTTTTCATTGCAATCTGACTTTAACCTGAGAATTCATGGTTTCAAGAACGCTAGATAAACGGGCCACTTACACAGTATAAAACTAAAGGGGCTATAGGAGGGTGCCTCATTTGTTCTGCAAACACAGAACACGTACTGGAAAAATTTCCAGCCAATTTCACTACCTCCTGACCTGATGGACTGGAGGTAGCAGGCAAATGCTGGTGCTCCCATCTATCTTGTAGACACACAGTTAACCACAAATTTCCAAGGCACGAGGGGTGCACACATAGTTCACCAGGAAAATTTGCAAAAATTCAACTTAACTTTGAGCCTCACGGATGTTATCTCATCTGGATTTCAAATTTGAAAAACTAGAATCCTTCTGAGGTATATAAAAGCACGATTATTTTCTACAGTTCTGAGCATATTAAAATTCTATTGGATTTCAAAAAAGGGAGTAATAACCAATTGACTTACTATACAAACAGGAACTTGTAATACTCAATGAAGTTTTTTGCTGTTTACACTTTACCTTTTGCTTTAGTGTGTATGAGTATTTAATTTTCTAAAAGGCACCATTACACAGTATATCCGACATTTATCACATTTCTTAAAAATGTTAAGATTCTACAACTCATTTCTATGTATTTTTCTTACTTTACATAACTTGAAACAGTATAGATTTTGTAACACTTAATTTGAGCAGCTTCTTTTTTTATTCTATTGAATTCTATAAAGTGCATGCTACCTTTAAAAAATTAATATTTGCGGCTTTACTCTTTTGCAAAACATTTGCTGTAATGAAGGAATTTGTATTTCCAATTATGTATCTCGACTGCTTTTTTAATATTTACTGCTCTCTTCCTAATTCTGCTTTAAAGTATTGAACTGGGCATGAAACATTAAAGTATTAATCCAGAACCTGTATCAACTGGATGTTGCTTAAAATCTGTATCACTGCCATGTTGGAAACCCAGACTGCTTTTGTGATGTTTCAAATTAATAAAACTATCCTTCTCCTTATCCACTTACATATGTCTTCATGGAATCTAAAAACATATCACAAATACTCACACAACTGACAATCGCTGACTCACTTTAAACTATCATGGTTCAAGATAAAACATGGCTGTGACTAACCAGCCTATTTAAAAAAATGGGCAACTGTCATACTGTCGTTATCTCCTGCGACAACAGAAACCAGAAAATCTCCAGTTCTATAGGCAGTTTTAAGAGACCATTTTGTTTTTAAAAAGAGGCACTCAGATAGCAGAATTTTAACATTTTATTTTTGCCATAAGAAGCTCTATGAACTAATACCAGGCAATGGTTAATGAAAAGAAGAACAAAGTCATGACAGGGTTGGAAAGATTGTACAAGTCTGGACAGTAACAGTATTGAGTGAAAATGACAAGGTTTCATCATTGACAGAGGTGAGGTAAGGAAGCCAGTGCTGTTGAATTGAGGGTCAATCTCAGTTCAATTCTGCAAGTTTTGGTAACATAACATACCTTGATCATTTTTTTGCCATTCCTTTTCTCTTTTTGGTATGATGGAAAACAGCCATATTCATTTTCCCTGGCAAGCTATATTGGGGGATGTGGGGTGATTAGCATCAAAATGAGAATGATCTTAAAGTTTAAAATCTTAAAGTTTAAAATCTTAAAGTTAACTTTGCACAAATTGCTATGGTGTTTCAAAAAAAGCCTTTGCTTAGTCTGAGTCTTTTTTTGTCATTTCTTTGAACAAATTGCTATTTCAAACAGCTCCTATCCAGAAGTATTTACACACGGGTAAATTTGAAGCCAACTTCAAAAAGAAAAAAGATGTCTCACAGCCAGAAAAAAAAATGTGTATATAATAGGATTAAAATCCCTGGGCCAGGAAAATGGTCCAAAGTGCTGGAACACGTACTTCTGATACGCAGGAGCCGTGTGTTCCACCCCAGCACTGCGTGGTCCCTCTGCACTGACAGGTTATGACCCAAAGCAGAACAAAATATTAGGAAAACTCCATGGTTAGGTTTTCAACAGCATCTTACTACAGCTTTTCAACCCAACGAACACTGGGAGTAGGGGGTTTTCCACAAGGAGTATTCCACATGAATTTCATGCTTTGGATGTAAAAAACATCTAGGAAAAACTGAAGACTCTAACATACATGCAAGTAAGAGTCTTCTGGCAAAAATACAATTAATATTCCAGTTTGTCTACTCCCTCCCCAACTCCAGAAGACACAGTCAGTAGGCACATAATTTAAATTTCAGTTTCAGAATTCACGTAGAGCACAGCAGCAGCAAAGAATTCTATCCACGTTGTTCAGGACGGATAGTCTTCCATTACAGGATTCATTCCTGGTTTGTCCTACTAACCTGGCACTACCAAGTACGAAAGATCTGAGAGCTGTGCTGGCATCAGTATTATTCACACTTGTTGAAGTAATGATGTCTAACTGGTGAAAGAACGTTAATAAATCACGAACAAATTTCCACTTAAAAATGTACAGTCTACTTAGAGTCGAGGGTAATGTTATCAATATCTGCACAGAAAGAGAAAAAGGCATCGTGATTCCAGAGACCAGAGTTTCTTAAGTTCAAAGGTAATTTACATTTTCCAAGGATTAGTTTACACAATGATTTGAAAGTCTAGACTCCTAACAGAAAACAAATAGATGCACATTACTCTAGCTATCAGTAAGCACAGAATTCTATTCTTTTTCTTTCTCCTTGTCATGTTGTAAATACTGATGCCTGATACCAACTCAAGAAACACTGAACAACTATCTTCAAATCTAGCTTACCGTCAGAGTGATGTGTACATGAGAAACCGTGATTAAAGCTTTAAGTTCAAAGGCAAGAGATAGACTATTTTAAAAAATACATAATTGAGAATATCTATGTTGAATTAAGAAATACTTAAGCAAGGTTACAAATGACTAATAGCTATGCACAACAATCTTTTTCAGTATCTATTAATTTCTTCCTTTGCAAAAATCATTTACAGAAATCCAACAATTTAATCTTGTTATAAAAGCTAGGCTATATATTTGTTCCACCTGCTTCCTTCTAGTACTAGCACTTTAATACATTTTGACTTTCCTTTATAAGTGTTTAAATACATGAGGGTCTTTACTGTTCTCAAGATAAATGAGAATCAACCAGCTTGTAATGAATTCTTCAGTTTCTGACTGGTACCATACTGTAGCAATATGCAGATGGAATGGAACATATTTTAGAAGAGTTCAGAATCTAAAAGGCCTTGTTGACAGGAAAATACTAGATCACTGATTTAACTATTTCACATGAAAACTAGATTCTAAATATGAGCATTTAAAAATATATGCCAGTAGCCTCCGCCCAAAATATGTAGGAGTCTCATTTATGGACTCTATCATTTATAAAGATTTATACATAAAGATTTATTTGGTGGCCTTCAGATTGAAAATTTGAAAAACTTTCATAAGTATTTTTAATCATAATGAGCAAAAGGAAATCTCCAATCACTTCTACTCCCTGTCTCTAACATCTGAAAACACAGAATTCAAAACAAATGCGACAGAACTTATTATTGCCTGTCTGCATTACGGAGATTTGTTTTCCATTAATACTTTTGCCCAGAGACCACATCACAAATATATATATATATAATATAATATAATACAGACAACATATTATATTATATGCACACATACACACATACACACATACACACACATACATACAGTAGTTCAGCCATCAGTCTTTTCTGACTTTGGCAATAAAAGCAAGATTCTATTCTAATCATCTAAAACTATTTTCATTCTTCACGTGAGAGACTTGCCTGCACAGCCATTTCAGAGGCGGGGGGAGAGGCAGAAATTTGGACTAGCAGAATACACAACCGAGCGAAGAGTTACTCTGAAATTTTTTAGAACAACTTTAGAAGTTCTTGTTTACTTTTATATGCCATATATAAGACACCACACATATTTATAGTCTCAATATTAAGAAAATTGAGAATTCAGCAGTAAAGTGCTAACACGTAAGGGGAAAGCCGTAGGGTATTCTAGGGTATGCAAATAACTCCAGTTATTTTCAAAGAACATTCAAACTGCTTCAGATTCTTTTTAGGAAACTCTCTCTTCCACACTTTTCTGCTTTTTATTAAATGAGCTGAAAGCTAACTATATAAACAGAGACTGTGTGGGAGAGTTTCTCAATTTCTACTCAAAGCTTTCAGAATATTCAGAATTTTGAAAGTTTCTTTCAGAAAATTTCAGAATTTGCTGCTAAAAATTATCAACAAACAACCCAACTAGACTACCTTCAGATGACACAGCAGACCAGATTAACTCATTTTCCCCTTAAATTGGTTTTCAAGTATTCTGAATCCCCTGCCTCTTAATTAAAACCCAAACTTTCTAATATTGGTATTTTGAAGGAGTTTAGTATGATTCTGGTATTATAAATTCAAACTCGGTACTGCCATCTGTTACATTTTCCTGCTGAATAAAAATATCTTCCCAGGTCATTGGCTTGTTCTGAGGAGTAGATGTAGTTCCTACTGGATTTTCTTTGCCAGCATCGACTTTATATCCAACACTATCATCCTTCATTCCAGGCATGGTGCCTGACCGGTTAGAAAGGTAGGCATACTGTCGGATCTGTAAAGACCTGCATGGATGTAACCGATACAGCTTCGAATCTCCAGAAGGATCTTGACTATGAACTGACTTTATATGTGATGACATAAACTGATAGTTTATGAAAGATTTGCCACAGGCCAAACACTGATACCTTCGCTCCCCTGTGTGATGAATCTCATGCTTTGTGCGATACTCAGCGAGAGGAAATACCTTCTCACAATAACGGCAAGGATACTTCTTCTCCCAAGAATGAATGTTAAAATGCCTCCGCAAGCTTGTCAGACAGACATAAGACCTTTTGCAAACAATACAGATGTAATAGACCCTTCCATCTACAATTAACTCATAGTGATCATCATGCTTTACTTTCATGCGCTTGTTGGCTGTCTCACCAGTGGATGTTTTGGGTAGCTCATTCTCAAGTCTGGCCTCCCCTTCGTCAGGATCATCTTTGACAGGGATCACTATGTCATAGGTATCTTCCCCAATATTTGCGTAAACTTTGCAACCAGTCGACAAGCCTTCAATTTCAGTAGCTGTATCTAAAGTAATGATCTTCTGTCCCTCTGATAGGTGTTTCACTCCTAAACCTGAATCACTGATGTTTCTTGTGATTATATTTGAAATTTTTAAAGAATTGGAAACAGGCTCTTGCAGCAGGGTAGGAAGCTGCATCTTCTGTAACAGTGACCCATCGAAAGGGTTATTTGGCAGGATGCCAGCCTGTGGGACCAAAGATATGTTACTGACCGCTGAATTTGGACTAGAGCTAATAGTGTCATCATCATCATCTATAATTTCCTCCTCCTCTTCTGTGCCCTTACCTCCTGTTAAAGCAGCACTGCTGGGCGGCTGCTGGTTCTGCATAAGTAGATTGATTGAAGGAGACATATGATTCGGAAGTGAAGAACTGACATTTGGTGGTGTAGTAAGTGGTGTCTGATTTAACAGAATTATGTTGGGAGTCAGATGTGTCGGGGCCGAAGGGCCGAGCAATTTTTCACTTCCCTGTGCTGGGCTCAGCGCTGGCGCTGGCGCTGTCGGATTCACAGGAGGAAGTTTCGGAGTAGGTGTGCTATTTGTCAAAGGGGGAGACTTACTGCTTGCAGAAGGTGTGACATCTGAAACTGCAACCAAGTCTGGGCTAGGCTGGACTGGCACCGCTGTGCTGGGATTCGGCAAATTTTCTTTTGCAGGAAGAACCTCAGAGCAGAAAATGATGTCGTCGTCGTCTTCATCAGAATCAGTAACGATGATCTTTTTTGTTTCAAAGTCCTCAGCAGATAAGGAAAAAGATTCTGTTATAATAGGCATTATAGTGGCCCCATTTTCTTGGGCTTCATCTTTTGATTTTTGTACGTCAGAGTTCTTGTCACTCGAACCAGGTGATAAGGTTTCTGCATTACCCACCTGAGCCGTGCCCGAGATGCTCTTAACCTGTGACAGTGGAACACCAAGCTCTGCTATAAACTTCACTCCTAACAGCTGCCCAGATTTAATTAACTCATCCAGCAAATCTGACCGAACACGCACAATTTTAGAACTATACATGTAATTAAGAATTTCTGCAAAGATCTCAGCTCTTATAAAGCTCAGTTCAACAACTTGCCCAGCCACTGAGAAGAGCTGGTGGAAGTAAGTACTCGAAGCTGAAAGCACATTCCTGTGGGCCCGGAACTTTCGGTCTTCCACAATAACGGTCACATCACAGAAGAGCCCATGGCTGCGCTGCTCGTTCAAGGCGTTCAGCAGACTGCTCGAGTACTGAATGTCTGTAGCAGAAATCAGTTTTCTACTCTCCATGCCTGGGAAAGAAAAGGAAGGAGGAGGGGTGGGAGATGAAGGAAGAAAAACAAAAGCATTTTATCGTTCACAACCGAAAGTCCAGCAGCACTACACAGTTCGGGCATCATGATTTACAATATAGATAATGGCAAGGTTTCCTACAAAAACATTTCAACACCTCACCCTCCACCAGAATCAGCTTCCCTCCACCATGCCCCAGTGTCATTGCCTCTTAACCCCCGCTCTCAGTCCTATCCCATACTCTCTGATATGCTTCCTATTACACACCAATTCTCAACTTCCATTGTTTTTGAGGACTTGTTATTTCTTTACTATGATCTCCCTTATTTGTGTGGTATATAAAGTTCTTTCAAGTTTTAAATGTTGTTTGGTTATACATATTTTGGGATTTTATACAAATTGTCCACGATGGGTAATGACCATGCGTCAAAATCTCATGACTTCCCCCTAAGAGAAGACAGACACATCTGAAACTGATAGGCAGATCTGAACATTACATAATTGCTTCCCTGCATCGCAGATACACACCATGCTACACTGCTACGCAGTTTTGTAAATAGAGTTCATATTTCGTAGCTCCAATTTTGGATTTTCTCCTCAAGAAGAATTAAGAAACGGGATTAAGAAGATGGACAAAGGGCTGGAGTTCATGGTTTGCATGCAAGAGACCTGGATTCTATCTCCAGCACGCCCTGGTCTCCCTAACCCTTCCAGGAATGACCTATGAGCCTTTGCCAGGAGCAGACCCTTGAATGCTGCTGGGTATGGTCCCCAAACCAAAAATTAAAAAACAGAGAAGACTTAATAATTCATTTTCTGTGGAATTCATGCCTGCTTCAGTCAGCTTAATCAGTGGCTGAATAAGTAGCAGTACTCCTACATTTAAAAAAACAATTCATTTTTCCTTTGCTGTTATTGTTGACCACATGGTTGGAGTGGCTTTTATTTTGTCTAAAAACTTAAATACGGGCAGAGGTAGGGTACTTGCCTTGCATATGTATGTGAGGATCTGGGTTCAATTTCTGGAACATTGCCCCACCCACCCAGCTCGCGCGCGCACGCGCGCGCGCGCGCACACACACACACATGCGTGTGCGCACAGGCGCATTCTAAAGAAAAAAATTTGATTGTGAAAACTCAGGCATTATTTCCCATGTAAATGAATTTACATGTGAGAAAAGCTTGGGTACAAAACTAAGTCCAAAATATATACTCCTAAATTTCAACTTATCTTTAAGAACTTATTCCAGTTATTCCCTGCTGCCAATGACTGAATGGTTATTTACAAATACTAGCAATTAATACCTCTAAACTTACCACTCTTTTTCTGTTCTTATTCACACCGGGGTGATTGAGGTAGATAAAACTATGAACACCTTTCACACCTTCTCCTTTTTCCTCTTTTCTCCTTGTCCCTTCCCTGCAATGCTTCTACCTCTGCCTGCACACGCTCCAGAGGGAGGTTAAAAATTTGAGTGCCAAGTGAAGTAAACAGATGTTGTTCTGAAGAAATCAATCAAAGGAAAGTTGATAATTTCTTAATGCTTATTCACAAGAAAATGTGAAATATTTCCAAGCTACGCATTGATAGGAAACCGCCTATACAACGACTGAGTGACTGAGGATGAAAATGTAAACTCAGCTGGAATATAGCAGACATAAAGGGAGGAGGCGTGCGCCGGTGTAGTATCTGCAAAACGTTGTTTTGCCCTTCACAATAATGCTTGTGAGGGAGGGGGAAACAAGCAATTTGCTACATTTAGGCTATATGCTGAGTACTTTCCTTTCTTTCTTTCTTTCTTTTTTTTTTTTTTTTTTGCAAATAAGCACTGACTGCTAACATCCTTTCCCGTTCAAATTACTGAAAGAGTACCACTAGCGCAACGCTTAGATTATACATACACACGAGGATGGCTGGGCGACTCAAATACCCTGAACCTGTTTCCAAAGGCTAGCTTTAAAATCCAGAGGTAGGGAGAAATCAGGAATTTCAAACAGCCACGGTGGCAAGGAGTCCCTCCTCACCAGTCACCCACTCCCTGAATGCCAGATTGCCATAAAGATACACATCAGAATTGGTGACCTTTGACCAGAGAACCAGCCGCCCACCCCTTATTCCCGAAATCGGGGGATTTCGACAGATGCCACTTTGCAATGGGAGGGCTAGGTGCTTGGAATAGGACCCTCCAGATTGGGGTGCTTGCAATGAGGATTTTCCAAAGGGCGACGGCATCCCTCGGGTTTGGTTTCATTTTGTTTGGGTTCTCTCCTCCTCCTCCTCCTCCTCCTCCTCCTCCTCCTCCTCCTCCTCCTCCTCCTCCTCCTCCTCCGAGTGGGCCCCGAAACAGCACCCACTGCCGGCGCTGCGACCTAGCAGTGCCCCGGCCATTCTGCTGCCTGGTGAACCAGTTCCCGAGTCGCGGGCAGGTGAAGGTGGCAACAGGGGTACATGCCACAAGCCAGCCAGGGCATCAAATCGACACGCGGCTCCCTGCAGTAGCGGCACCCCATCTTCCATCCCCACCCCCTATCTTCCCCCATTTACACCACCGGCTGCCCGCGCGCTGGTTCTGCAGTCCGATGGACGCGGAAATACGCAGTTTTCTGCCAACTCGGGTGGGGGTATGCAGAGCAGAGCGAGGACTCACCGGGGTGGGGGGAAGTGGAAGGTGGCGAAGGGGAAGATGGGGTACGGGGAGGAGAGGAGGCCAAGCGGGCGGCATTGTTATGCCCCGGGAAGGGGACGGAGGAGAGGGTGGGCCGAGAGACACGCTCTAAGTGCAAGTCGTGGGGGGCGGGAGCGTGAGGAGAGAAAGGGGGGCACAGAGAGGCCAGCGGCGGGCGAAGGGAAAGCCAAGTGGGTGTCGGCGAGGGGGTTCCCCCCCACCGCCCCCTTGTCGGGCCTACCCCGAGCCCCCTCGGCAGCCTCGGGGTTCCGGACGCCGGCGCGGCCCACCGGGCTCGTCCTCTCCTTCCCTCCCGGGCCCACACAAAGAAAAGGGCCGGCGGAGCGGAGCCGCAGCCGCCGCCGCTTCCTGGTTCAAATGAGGCAAACGCCACAGCCGGTGCGGCCCAGGCGCCCAGCGAGCGGGCGCGCTTCCCCGGCTCCCCCGGAGCTCGCCCGGGCCCTACCTGCCGCCCGACGCCGCCGCCTCTCCGGCTCGGGCAGCGCGGAACGGGGCGAGTCCACGAAGCACGAGCGGCCGGACTCCACGGCTCGTTGGCTCTGGCTTTAAACGTCGCTCCAGTCCCGGCCGACGTCGACGCGGCCGCCGTCTCCAGCCGCCGCTGCCGCTACTGCCGCCCGGCGCCGCCGCCGACCGTGGGCTACTGCGCGGGGGCGGAGCGCTGGGGGCGGAGGCGTTCTGCTCGCCAGAGTGAGGCTCGGCTCTTTCCGGAAGGACTTCGGTGCCCTCCTGCGCCTTCGGCTCTTTCCGCCAAGGGGCGGGGCCAGACTGGGGAGCTCGTGGAGGGCTCAGTCCTTTTCCGGAGGGCGAAAGGGTGGGAAAAAAAACGGGAAAGCCGGGGCTTAGGCTGCGGCCGCTGAAGGCAGGGGGAGGGAAACTTCTAGTTCTTGTCTAACTTCGCCGGGTGCCTTGCCGGCGTCAACACTTGTAGAGGCTACGGGTTTCGTTTCTTTTGCAAGCTAAATGTTGCCTGACTCGCCTGTTTTGTTCGTCAGACCACTTTGAAAAAGAAATCTGAGTAAAATCCAGCACAAAGCGTCTGCTCATTCAGATAACCACATTCCACTTTTTTTCCCTACTAAGTATTTTTTAATTGAATCACCGGGAGATATACAGTCATAAATTTGGTCACGATTGAGTTTTAGTCATACAGTGTTCTGAAAACCGTCCCTTTGCCAGTGCACATTGCCCATCACTAATGTTCCCAGTTTTCCTCCTGCCCATGCCGCCCCTTGCCTGGGCAGCCTGTGTCTGTGGCAGACACTTTTCTTCTCTCTCTCCTCCTTTCAGGCAGTGTGGTTTTCAATACTGTTATTGAGAGGGCATCATGAATATCATTTTACCTCCTTTCAACACTCAGTTTTTGTCCAGAGTGATCATTTCTAACGATCATTGTCTCAATGGTCCCTTCTCTATCCTAACTGTCCCCTCCTCCTTTGCGGCAAGATTCCTACTGTGAGTCAGTCCTCCTAATCCTTGTTTCTACTGACTTTGGTTATTATTCACATACTATCTTTATATGTATGGTATATTATAGATCCCTTATATGTTTGTCCCCCTTCCTCTGGTTCATTTCACTCAGCATAATGCTCTCCAAATCCATCCACGTATAAGAAAATTTTATGACTTTATTTTTCCTAACAGATGCATAGTTTCTTTATCATAATTTTTGTTTCATTTTTTAATCATAGATCTTTATCATAGATTCTTTAGTCAATGGACTGTTCTTGGGCACTTGGGTTGTTTACAAATTCTGGCTATGGTGAATAGTGCTGCAATGAGCATAAGAGTGCAGATGGCTTTTCTGCATTAGGTTTTTGGGACATTAGGATATATTCCTTGGAGCCGAATTGCTGGATCATATGGAAGCTCAATTTCTAGGTTTTTGAGGAATGTCTATTTTTCTTTTTCAGAAAGTGTTGTTTTACAGAAAGTGGTGTTGGGGAAAATAATCACTACATGCAAACAAAATTAATAACCTCAGACCTCTCTGTAGCACCATGCACAAAAAATCAAATAAAAATGGATTAAAGACCTCGATAACACATCTGAATCCATAAGGTACATAGAGGGAAAAGTATGCAGAACTCTCCATGACATTGAAGTTTAAGGCATCTTTAAGGATGAAACATCACTAATCAAGCAAATGGAACCAACGATAATAAATGGGACTATATTAAACTAAGAAGCTCCTGCACTTCAAAGGAAATGATGACCAGAATACAAAGACAGCCCACTGAATGGGAAAAAATATTTACCCAACACTTAACTGATAAGGGGCTAATATTGAAGATGTATATGGCACTGGTAGAACTTTACAAGAAAAAAAACATATAACTCCATCAAAAAATAGGAAAAGAGATAAACAGAAATTTCTTCAAAGAAGAATACAAATAGCGAAAAGGCACACAAAAAAGTGCTCTACCTCACTGATTATCAGGGAGATGCAAATTAAAAACATCAATGAGATAACACCACAAAAACTGTCACACATCAAAAAGTACAACCACTGGCATAGAGGATGTGAAGAGAAAGGGACTCTCATTCACTTCTGGTGGGAATGTCAATTGGTCCAGCCTTTATGGAAAACAATACAGACATTCCTAAAATCTTCAGATACAAAAAGGAGGAAAAGCGGGTCTTTTCCTTTTGAAAGAGCTCAAGAGATAGGTACACAATGATCCAAATTATTTGTGGAAGGACTAGAGCAAAAGGAAGGGACAGCTAACTGAATGTCTTTCAGCTGTGTCTTGAAAGGAGATTACTATGAGCAGATATGTTCGTTATTATCTTCTGTGATAATTGTCCCGGGGCTCATATGTATGTGCAAAGCACATGATCGACCCCATGGCCAAATTTATTATTTGTATTTAGGTAGCATTTCGTCCTGATAGGGCTTTAATATCTGTAATATAGTAGGTGTTCAGTTGTTATTGCATGAATTGATATGTGTCTGAGTTTTGCTTCTTTAAACATGTAATAGTGGGGGCTGGAGCAATAGCACAGTGGATTGGGCCTTTGCTCTGCACGTGGCCTGCATCCCATATGGTCCCCTGAACACTACCAGAAGTAATTCCTGAGTGCAGAGCCAGGAGTAACCCCTGTGCATCACCGGGTGTGACCCAAAAAGCAAAATAAATAAATAAATTAAATTAAATTAAAAAGTAATAGTAATACAATACTGAGAACTGTGATGAATAAACTAGTAGGGGGTTGTTTTGAGAGCCACATACTTTTCTTTAGTCTTATTAATGATTTTAATCCTAGCACAGCGGTAGGGCGTTCGCCTTACAAGTGGCCAACATGGCCGACCCAGGTTCGATTTCTCCGCCCCTCTCGGAGAGCCCAGCAAGCTACCGAGAGTATTCGATATGCCAGACACAGTAACAACAAAGTCTCCAATGGAGACGTTACTGGGCCCGCTCGAGCAAATCGACGATCAACGGGAGAGCCTTTACCTTTACCTTTTAATAATGAACCAGACTATAAGTCTTTTTACTTAAACAATGAAGGTCATTGACTACCTTTATTTCCTTTACATTTTTTTTTTTTGGTATAAGATATCATCGCATGGGTTTCCAAACACTTCCTTGCTGAAGAAATTGTCTTTCCATCTCAGGATAAAAATAGATCTCTTATTTATTTCAACAGGCCCTCCCGTTGTTCATCGATTTGCTCGAGCGGGCCCAGTAACGTCTCCATTGGAGATTTTGTTGTTTGTGTGTTTGGCATATCGAATACATCACGGGTGGCTTGCCAGGCTCTGCCGTGTGGGCGAGATACTCTCGGTAGCTTGCCGGGCTCTCCAAGAGGGGCGGAGGAATCGAACCTGTGGGCTGGAGCAATAGCACAGCGGTAGGGTGTTTGCCTTGCACGCAGCGAACATAGCCGACCTGAGTTCGATTCCTCTGCCCCTCTCGGAGAGCCCAGCAAGCTACCGAGAGTATCTCGCCCACACGGCAGAGCCTGGCAAGCCACCCGTGATGTATTCGATATGCCAAACAGTAACAACTAAGTCTCCAATGGAGACGTTACTGGGCCCGCTCGAGCAAATCGATGAACAACGGGAGGACCTTTACCTTACCTTACCTTTACATTCTCCTCAAGAATTGCAAATCACAGGGTAAAACATCAAAGTTGTGGGCAACAGTGGCATTTTTACCCAGAGTAGGAATTTCACAGGACATTCCTTAGGTTCTTCTTTTGTTCTGTGATAAAACAAAGTGTTTGGGAATTATAGTATTTACCTAATTATTTTAATTAGGATTTTAATCATCAAATGTTTTTTGTTTGCTCTAAAGGCATTTCACAGAAAACTGGAATGTGCAGTGAAAGACAAGAAATTAAGAGGAACTAAATACAAAAAGTGAACTATTGTCCTGTCAAATGAGCACTTAAGGAAACCACTTAGCATATTAATGACCATTTACTGAGTTATTCTCCTCTAAACTTGGTAGCAAAGAAATGTTTTAGAAAACTAGGTACACCTTGAATATCCACCATCAATTTATTTTTCAGTAGCCAAGTTGAAGAAAAATAAAATGGGACATACCTTTGGAAATGGATGACGGTGTGATCTCTTGACATCGGATGTTTGTTAATGACCTTTCAATACAATGTCTTTTGTACGTGTCTTAGCATCACCAAGACCATTAACAGAATGGCCTTGCCTTTGTCTCATTTCTTAAAAAGCTATAAAAGTGGGGAGCCCCGAACAAATTATAACAACAAAACCTGTTCATTCAAAGCAGCAGGAAACCTTGTCCCTTCTGGCTATTGTCCCTCACATCCAGCGAAAACAAAAATTAAAGCTATCTATATTTGGATTGCTCTTCAAGACCATTTTCTCCCTTGAACTTGTATCTGTCTTGCTTGTCTCTGTGTTTCTTTGTTTTCTTATTTCCATTCTGAAGAAATCTGTGTTCTCTCTCGAACATGTACTTCTACCTCTCTCTCACCTCACATCTTTCTAAATAAGTTTCAATTAAAACTACCTTGTTTCACAAAGGAATAAGTAAATAAATAAAAATAAAAGGTATCTATATTTAAAGGGAACCCAGTGCTCCAGAAATGTATTTTATTTGTAGGTAGTCAGTCAAGAAACTTGGAAATTCTCTTAATACTTTCCTTTGGGACAGGACAAGATCATTGGGGAGGTTCATTCATTTTCTCTCAACAAATTATTCCACCTTTAATTTTGCTTTTATCTGAAAGTTTTATTCTGCTTAAAATAATTCCTTAAACTTGATTTAATTTTGTTGCTGTTTTTGTTTGGGTGCCACACCTGCAGTACTCAGGGCTTACACGGGAATCAGTGCTGACATAGCTTCGAGGACCACATGTGATGCCTAGATCAAACATCAGTTGGATACATGCAAGGCAAGCACTTAACACCTGTACCATCGCTCTAGCTCCTAAAGTCGCATAGTTTGTTCATTATTTGTTTGTTTTTATTCTTTTCCC